CCCCAAAACCCCAAAACCCCAAAACCCCAAAACCCCAATTTCAATCATTTTTATTGAATTGAGAACTTGTGTTTCCAAAGGGGTGTTCAGAATTAGCCAAAATTAATTGTTACCCATGCAAATCAATGAATCTTAGTATTTTAAGATTGCCAAATGGTAAGGGTAAACTATATCAAGCTCCTTAGTACTCAATTCCTCCTTTGTTTCGCAAGTATACAGAGACATTAGCTCTTCCTGGAGGTCTTCCAAAGGGTCTGTCTCTTCTGGGAACTTTTCAAGAAAACATCTGTATCCACTCACAGACTTGAGGTATTGGAAAAGACTATTGATGTCAAGCGTCTTCACTTCGTACTTTAAGTATTGCTCCACAGTGGTAAAATAATCAGAGAATGCTATATGTTCAAAATGCTTGTCAATATCGTCTCTCTGACACTCAAAATGAGGCTTTATTTTGGAATAGAACGCCCTATAAGCGTCATTAGCTTTTTCTTCTACTTCAGAATACTTCTTTTCTTCGTCAAAGTTAAGTATCTCTACTGCTGTAAACCTACTCTCAGTGCCAGAAGCCTCTTCAGAGATAGTTTCGGCTAATTTTTGATTCATGACAGAGCACATCGCATATGAGAAAATAGCAAAGGCGCCTCCTTCTGAAAGATATTTCTTATATAATTTAAAAATTAAGTCATGATCTAGCCAATGAAGAGTCTGAGCAATTGTGACCATATCGATACTCTTCCCTTCCATAGTTTCCTCAACAAAGCTTCCAATGTCGTGTGAGTTCTGGTAGTGGTAGCTTATATTCTTAAATTCTTCTGACTTCTCAATTGCCTTATCAATCTGAGATTGGCTGATGTCAATTCCATAGACTCTTTCAAACTTTTTAGAAAGAGGTATGGACAAGATACCTGTACCTCATCCAACGTCCAAGACAGTTCCCTTCTCTGGAGCTTTCTCAACTGCTAGGTCTATCAGACTTTGTGGATATCTTGGTCTGTAACAGGCATAGAGTTCACTTTGTCCTTTAAAGCCAAAGACATCTTGGCCCTTAAATCTAGACTTAGTTAGTACGTCCTTCGCACGATTCATTTTAAAATTAATGTATTAATTAGCCCAAGATCACCAGGCTTATATGGGGTTTTGGGGTTTTGGGGTTTTGGGGTTTTGGGGTTTTGGGGTTTTGGGG